AATAATCGACCATCGGTACTGGCCAAAAAATCTTTATCAGTGCATCCCTACTAATTCTACTTCATTCTTTTTGAGATATGGAGACCAAAACTACACACAGTATTCAAGATGTGGGCACACCATGGAGTTGCATAATGGCATGATAACCTTTTGTTTTCAATTCCCTTAATGATGCCCAAAACTTCATCGGCTTTTTTTGGTTGCCACTGCACATTGAGCTAGGTCAGAACCCGGTATTATGTAGGTATAGTTGAAGCTGTTTTTCCCTAGGTGTATTTTCCTTTCAAAATTAATCTGCCATTTTTTTGCCCACTCAGTCTGCTTGGCAAGATCTTTCTGCAGCTCCTCTTGATCAGTTTGGGACTTGACCACCCAGAATAATTTATCATCTGCAAACTTGGAGATTTCACTCTGCATCCCAATTTCCAAGTCATTGATGAAAATGTTGAACAATATCAGGTCCAGCACAGATCCCTGCGGGATCCCATTCTCAACCTCCCTCCATCCTGAAAAGTAACTGTTTAGCTCTACCCTTTGTTTCTTGCTCTCAGTCTGCAAAAGAACCTTCCCTTCAATCCTGTCACAATGCAGTTTTTTTAAAAGCCTTTGTTGAAAGTTTTGTGAAAGTCCAAATATATTGTGTCAACTGGATCTCCCTTGACCACGTGCTTGTTAACACCCTGCACCAGATTTGTGAAGCAGGATTTCTCTTTACAAAAACAGTGCTGGCTCTTCCCTAGCAGATCATATTCATTCATATGACTGCTGAATTTATTTTTTATTATTGATTCTACCAACTTGTCAGGGATGAAAGTGAGACTCACTGGTCTGTAAGCTCCCAGGTCACCTCTGAAGCCCTTTTTGAAAATGGGCATTATGTTGGCAACCCACCAGTCCTCTGGCACAGAGTCTGTTTGTTATGATAAGTTACTGATAGGTTATTGCCAGCCATTCTGAAATTTCACCCTTGAGTTCCTTCAGAACTCTGGGGTGAATGCCATCCGGTCCTCATGACTTCTTAGTATTTCATTAGATTTATTCTAAAACTTCCTCTGTTGCTATTTCAGTGTGGTCCAGCTCTTTAGGCTCAATGATTAGAAGGCACTGATCTGGCATGGAAATTTCCACAGTATCTTCTGCAGCAAACATCAACGCAACAAATTTTTTTAGCTTCTCTCCTATGGCTTTATTATCCCTGAGTGCACCTTTTACACCTTGGTCATCTAATAGTCCCACCAATTATCTAGCTGGCTTCCTGCTTCTGATGTATTTGAAAAAGTTATTATGATGAACTTTAACATTTTTTCTAGATGTTCCTCAAATTCTTTTTTGGCCTACTTATTTTGCTTTTATACTTGATCTGCCAGGGCTTGTGATCTTTCCTGTTTTCCTCACTTGGGTATGTTTTCTGTTCTTTAAAGGATGCCCGTTTGCCTCGAATGGCTTCCTTAACTCTGCTATTAAAGCATGCAGAGGTTTTATTGGTGTGCATGTTACCCTTTCTGATTTGTGGTACACACTTTTCCTGAGCCTCTAATACGGTATTTTTAAACAGCTTTCAAGCTTCCTGCAGGCTTTTTACATTTTTGACTGCTCCTTTAAATTTCTAACTTCCTCATTTTTGTGTAATTTCCCTTCCTAAAGTTGTATATTGGTGTGGTGGACTTCTTTGGCTTACTCCTTCCTGCTAGAATGTTGAACACGATTATGTTATGATTGCTTTTACAGCGTGGCTAACCAACAAATACCTCTTGAACTAGGCCCTGTGTGTTACTCAGGATTAGGTCTAGACTTGCATCTCCTCTTGTGGGTTCCAAGATGAGTTGTTGTAGAAAGCAGTCATTTATCACATCCAAAAATTGTATATCCACGTCATGTCCTGATGAGGTGTTTACCCAGTCTATGTGAGGATAGTTGAAGCCTCCCATTATTATTGCTAGTCCTATTTTAGCAGTCTCTTTAATCTCCCTGAGCATTTCATAATTATTTAAACCTGATCAGGTGGTTGGTAGTACAATCCAAGTACTAAATACTTTGTATTCAATTATTGGATTTCTACCCACAGGTATTCTATAGTTGTTTTCCTTTCAGGTAAGATTTGTATGCTCTTACTAGCTATATTATCCTTAACATATAGTGCCACTCATTCACCTTCATGTCTTACTCTGTTATTTCTATATAGTTTGTAACCTGTTAGAATAGTATCCCACTGATTATCATCCTTCCTCCAAGTCTCTGGGATGCCTATTATGTCAGCTACCATTTAATACTAGGTATTCTAGTTCACCCATCTTATTTTTTAGGCTTCTGACATTAGTGTAGAAACATTTATAAATGTCCTTGCACAGCTGCCTGCAACTGTTCACACTGAGCAATGGATTAGCTCAGCAAGTGGCCGATTAACTCAGCTGGTTAGTGCATGGTGCTAATAATGCCAAGGTTGCTGGTCTGATATCTGTTTAAGACACAACACCTTTTCTGCCTCAGGCAGGGGGCTGGACTGGATGACCTCTTAAGGTCCCTTCCAGGCCTACTTCTCTACAATTTCTATTTGGAACTTGATGTTCTGACTTATCTTCACTATTATAGTTATACTTCTTACTCCCTCACTATCCTCTTCAAAACAGTACAGACTCCAAATTAATGTTCCACTTTTGTTTTGCATCAACCCAACCCGTGTGCTCTGTGTCACTACAAAATGTCTAATGCAGGCACACTATGTTAGTGTAAACTGCTGTCTCAACTGGCACAATCAGCAGTGTGCCTTAACTGAGGTAGATCTATGATGAGCATACTTTGGAGCAGTTACACTGTTGGCTAATAACCCTAGCACAGATGGACAATGAAGTCATCTAGGCATAACAATTAGTAAGTTATTTCTTAGGAATCTGGCAACAATAGAACCATTAGCCAGTAGCAAGTATCAAGGTCAGATTCTGAGGGCAAAGTCTGATGATTATGCAAAACAAAGGAGTTTCCCTTGGCACTTTCCCTCAAATTCCTTGGAGAGAATTTACTGAGGGAGGTTGTGCTTTGATAAGAGTGGCTTAAAGAAAAGAAAGAAAACCAAAGATCTGGAATTTAAGTTGTGAGGTCCTTGATGCAGGGGCAAGATCTTTTGGGTCAAATACTGTGGAGTGCCGCTGGCCAGCAAAATAATAGGGAACACTTTGAGTGGATTTAGGATTCTGCAGATCAAGATTGTCACATAGGATTGGCAAAGCAGGAGGAATCTTACTCTGAGTGTGACTATGCATCGGGACTGAGGAGCATCAGTAGATGTCAGGTCTGAAATAGAAAATCAGGTGGCATAGCATCATTTCAAGAAACAAAGTGATCTTACTGGGGGCTGAGGTTTGAAATAGCTGAGTTATGTCTCATGTAGAGTACAACAGGAATACCTTACTTGCAGTATTGTGGGCTTGGCTGTGGGTTGTTTAAAAAAACAAACAAACAACCAACAAACATTGAGAGGACTGGGAAAGTCTGAGTCAGATGCTCTTGCAGCTGGCTCATACATGGAGGGGGTGGGGGAAAAGGATAGATGGGACATGACTCAGGAGAACTGTAAAGTTGCAGCGTTGGTGGCTAGAAAAGTCACCCATAGGCTGCGGACTGGGGAGTGCCACCCGGGCCACGGCCCGACCAACTTTTAGCATGTTAATTTAGCTAGCTATGCAGTTAAAAAATTAGCTATACAGTTTTAACTGGAATGACAATTGTGCATTTGTGGGTTATATAAGTCATGGGCGACTGGTGTCACCTTAGTCGGGGGGGAGGGGGGCACGTGCCCCCCCGGGCGCGCGCCCGCCCCCCCCCCACAACCACGGGTTCCCCTGCGGGCAATCTTGTGGACTGGGGTGGGGAGGAGACCCCCCATGGCAAAACTCACTGACCGGGAAGTAGCTGCAGGGCTCCCAGAAGAATCCGCGGCGCTACAGCGAGTGCTCCTGCTCTCCCACTAGTGCTCGCAGGGTGGGCACTTGCGCTCCCACCTGCCCGTCGCTTAAGCGGGGAGCGCAGCCTGTCAGGGGGTGCAGCAGCGCTCTCAGGGGGTGCACATGCACTCCCAATGCGTTGCCACGGATAAAAATTAACGTGATACAAGTTGGCCGTGCCAGGCCCAGGTGGCCCACCCCATTCCACGGCCTACGAAGTCGCCAGCCGGCGGGAGTGGCAAAGGGGGAGCACTGAGGACTAGGCGGATACAAGGGAAGAGCAGGCAAGGGATCAAGGGGGAGGAGAGAGAAGCAGCGACTGACCCAGGAATGGATGGGCATATGCAGGGCGAGTCACAATGGAGCGGCCCTGGTAAAACACAGCATCTGGGGCTGGGCAAGGAAAGAAGAAGAGAGGCTACAAGACGTTCAGTTTACAGGCCCTGAAGAGAAGAGAAGAGAAAAGAAGAGAAGAGAAGAGCGAACAGGCGGGCAGGCGCCTCCTTCTCCTCGGGAGGAGTCGAGGGCGGGGCTG